CTGCGCATAGCCCCACCTCAACCCACAACATGTTCGTTGGCCCGATTTTCTCGAGTCCATTTTTCACTATGCAGTCACCCATAAAAAGGGGGCATCAAACATCGCCGACGCACTGACCCGCCCCACTGCCCAATTCCATGCCATACTAATCGCCCAGACCAGCCCACTGCTCACATGAATATTTATCCACAGCTACCAAACAGACCCATTCTTCACCGGAGGAAACTCGCAGCAGTTCGCAGCAGCAATGGGGGTTTATTACGTAAAAGCCGGCATCGATCGCATCTGGGTGCCTGGCTACACTTTACTAAGGAAGGTGTTACTACAGGAGGCACACGACGAGGTTATCTCAGGCCATTTCGAAGTAAAAAAACACGGCAGCAGCTGCAGCGGTATTATTACTGGCCCGAGATGCTGATTGACGTGCAACGACACGTGGGATCGTGTCCCACCTGCCAACTCATGAAATCATCCCGGAAGCGGCCCAGCATCAAAGTTGCAACTGATACCACCCCCAGAGCATGCTTGGCACCAGGTGATGATGGACTTCGTCACGGGGTTACCAGCTCGGGCAAATGGGAATGATGCGATCCTGGTCGTCGTTGATCGGCTGACGAAGATGGCACATTTCGCAGCCTGCAAAAAACCAATCACAGCCGAAGAAACAGCCCGCCTCTTCATCGCCACCGTCGTTTGACTACACGGGATACCAGCTGCAATCATCACCGACTGCGGCACGAAATTTACCAGCAACTTCTGGCAGAACCCGTGGCAGCAGTTCGGCACGCGGCTCCAGTTCAGTTCATCGTACCACACCGAAACTGACGGTTAGAAAGCACGGAGAAACCAGACCATGGAGGAGCTAATCCGAGCCACGTGCGATGACCCGACCATGTGGGAACAGCAACTGCCACTCATCGAATTTGCATATGCGGAGTCACTACACAACGGGAGTGGACTACGGAGGAGGGCACGGGGTTGTGCGAGTGATCGTAGGTTTGCGCTAGTGTGCTTACTTCTTGCTTGTGTTCACAGAGAAGTTTTGCAGGAGTTTCCACTAATGAAGTTGAAAGAACAATGAACATTGAAAGGACTAGAGTACGATTGAAGCATGTAGAAAGATATGACTAGAATGGCATGCAACCCCTAGCAAGGGCAAAATCTGCCAGCGCAGCAGAAGAGCGGCTTGCCAGCGCAGCAAAAGATCGGCTTGCCAACGCTGTAGCAGAGTAGTCTGCCAGCGTTACACTACGCGCGGCCTGCCAGCACTACAGTCGCGGGTGACTATCTGCAGTCACAGGTTGTCTATTTGCACAGATGTGCGCACCTACCAAGTAGGTGCAGGTTGACGGTTTCACTGTCAGGCACATTGCGCAGGTGCCAGGTAGAAAACGTGTCGTCGGTTTCGCCAGGTGCGCACCGTCGACCACGTGATGCCGTTGCGTATGTCGAACTTCGCCAAAACCTCCTAGGCGAAGTTTCGCATACCTCCACGGAGTTTCGCACACCTCTGCAAGTTCGGTCGAACAGCTCGACCCCGCTCGGTCGAACAGCTTTCGCCGATCAGAGCTCGTCGACCGGAGCTCGTCGCGCAGAGTTCGGCGAACGGAGCTCTTCGACCAGAGCTCCTCGACCAGAGCTCTTCGACCAGAGCTCCTCGGACGGGGCTCTTCGACCATCACTCCTCGACGGGCCTCCTCGACCGCTGCCTTCGACTAGCGCTGCCCGTCGACGATGTCGACCAGATTCTGTCGAGCAGAGCCTGCTCGACCGCAACTTCCAACGAACTGCAGAATCCCACTTCTTCGACCAATCCGTCGAAAACGTTCTGTCGACGGCGAGATCGGCTGCGCCCAAGCGAGGGTGGGGCCTTTCTCTTTGACAGCATACAACAACTCGCCATCCGCCATGACCCAACAGTCACTTTTCTACCTGAATTACGGACAAGACCCCACAGTACCTATGACCCCAAATCCCGACAACCCCGTGCCCCGTGCGCAACAGTTTGCAGAAATTTTACAGGCAGCACGGACCCGGGCAGCAGACGCAATCAAGAAATCAAATGTCATCGCTAAACGCAATGCCGGCTGCCATCGTCGCCCCATCACTTACCAATCCGACGACCTCTTACTCCTCGACACCCAAAACCTCCGCCTACCCATTACCCTGAAACTCCGCCCCCGATATTGTGGGCCATCATGATCACCCCCGTCACCGTCCACCTCCTCCTCCCTGCTGACTGGTACATCAGCCCATCATTCCACGTCAGCCTCCTCCGCCCATACGTCCCATCCACTAGCCAACTGCCTCGCAACCGCCTCGCCAGCATGACACGACCTTCGACACAACCAATAATCACGCCCAAAAAGATACAGAGCGACTGAGTTCGTGACCCACGAGGAGCTCGCATAATCAAATTTCTGATACGTTGGAAAGGCCCCACAACCACCGAAGACAATGGGTTTTCCTGGATAGAATTGAGAACCAGGGCTCTCGCTAGGATCAGCTGAACAAAGAAACGAAGTCTGAAACTTAGACCATCAGACCAAATTGGTCTGATAACCAAGCCCCTGTTGAGAACCACCCCGTCCTCATCGAGTACATGCGCAGCCGAAATTTCCGGGATGTACACGCGGTTTCGTAAGGAGGACCTCCTTAAGGGGGGTGGGGGGGGGGGGTGTAAGGAAAACCCCTTTTCCTTACTTAGCGTCCCTGCTCAACGCGTACACCACTGTTCCTGCCAACAACTCCCAACAGTAGACCGTTACCACTCGCGGCACTCGCCTTGACTACTGTTCCCGCCACTGTTCACGACGCAACCCAAACTCATGGTTAGGTTGGTAACCCGCGCTCCGGACCTCCGCCTTGACAATTCCCAGCCTCGGCGCTAGGCCCGTAGCGCACCCCATTTTCACACATTACCGTTACCACTCTAGCTTTGCTATATATTCTTCGCCCATGCCTTAGCTCAATGGACTGTTTTGCTTCGATAGTGCACCTCTCGCTCGCTCGCTCAATTGCACTCGTAACACACACCTTTCGGGTCCCAAGCGAAGCACAACTAGAAATCGTTGGCGGCTTCCAACCACATTCAAGTCGTTTCCCCTTCCATTCTCATTTCTCCCTTCACGTGTGTCGAACCTCCCTTTTTGTTTCTCGCATCTCACTACTCGCTTCCCCTTTCTAACTTGCTCTAGTTCTAGCTTCTTGCTTCTCGCGTCACGTCGGCAACCACTCACTCACCTGCAGAGCATCTTTGTCGGTTCGGAAGTGCTCTCGACACGTGTAGGGCAGTATAAAATTCTGGGAGAGTCCTCCCCTCACGCTATCTGTCTCAACAACTCACGCAGCACTCGCTGCTAGATCAATTCACGGGCTGAATTACAGTTAGGAAATTCGGCAGGCCAATCCGGCGGGGATTAGGTGTTCGCTCAGCCATTCACAGCGCTCTAGTGCCGGACTGCCACAGGTGCAGAAAGATCTGCAAAATGGTCACGGAAAGCCGCCTCGCTTCAATTTCTCGTCTGCACCACACCGTAAGAGAGTTGCGCCACTGTACTGTACAACTCCGGGGTGAACGACGCGCAACCTTTACGCGAGCTACAGAAATTCCAACACACGGTGTGATTATGTGATAAGCGCCTTTGTACCGGAATGCCACAGGTCCAGAAAGATATGCAAAATGGTTGCGAACCCTTGCTTTCCGCGCGGCATTCCCAAGAGCAGTGGCTTAGCCGCAAGGGAGTTGCGCCGTGCCAGTCTGGGTGGAAAGACGCGCAGCCGTCACGCGAGCTACACGCGTCTTAATACACTAGGCGATCATGTAAGTTCCTTTGCTCATCTCAGCGCCTTGTTCATCTCTCTTGGACCTGCTCCACCCCACAAATGACACAAACGGAAAGAAGCAAAGTCAGGACTTGGTCTTTAGGTGGAAATGAGCGTTACTTTAGCCACTGAGAGCCAAATCCACGAATTCTAGCGTTACTGTTGCTGACATGGCATTTCCAAAGTCAATAACAGCCCTTTCGGTCCGTTATATTTGTGCGTGTGTTCTACAGGTCTAGGTCGCTCCCGTGGTTTGCGAACTGCGGGATGCAATGCTGGAGCACGTGTTCTGTCACAGACAGACATACAGACGGACAATGACAGACACTGACGGACGGATAGACGGATTATCGCCGTCTCGTGAAGCAGGGGCCAGACGAGACGACGATGGTATGTCTGTCGGGAGCTCACTATCGGTCAGTTTTACTTGTACAAGTTATCGCGAATCACCGAGTTCATTCATACTGAGCCAGTCAGTCACAGTAACACCAATTTTGGCTGAGCTTGAGTGACCCTGAGGTGTGATTGTAGTTGCGTCTGAGATAGCACTGCCGCTGTCACCGCAATGGCCGCGATGGCACGTGCGACCTCCCCTCCTCGCCGCTACCACTACTATTTCCTTGCCTCGACACTTCTCCTCCTGCTGCTGCTGCTGCAGCCGCTAACGCCGGCGTATGCGGCGACATGTACGGTGATCGCACCGCTGCGCGGATCTAGCGACCGCGTGGAGGTGTTCAAGCTCGCGGAGAACCTCTGGTTCGCGGGTTCCGCACAAATGCCTCCTCTCGACTCCGCTGACGGCGCGCCGGCTGCCGACTCCGGGAGCGCGGGGAGCAACGGCGGCGGCAACGGCGCTGCGCCGCAGCCTGATGCCGCCACCGCCGCCGCAGCCCCTGCAGGCGCGCCGATGCCGCCAAATCCGCTCCAGGAGCAGATGGTACGACGCTCGGTTCTAGTCAATCCCACCTGCTGCCAGCATTGCGTGGTTCGGGTTGAAGTAATTATCAAAGCACCGTTAATGCGCCGGATGGTATGCCTGGACCGTTCAAACATTCCCGCCTGTAATGCTTCTGGAATTGCGGCAGCGGTGGTTTTCAAGCTTCTGTAGTAACTTCCTCCCTTCCCCCATCCGCCCGTTCCCCGCTTGACAAAATGCGCGCGCGGCGGAGGTTGGGATGTTCCTGGCGCGCACGACGGAGATGAAACCCGTGGTGGAGCGCGGAGCACCGGTGGGGTTTCCGAGAATAAGCGAGTACACGGGAGTGAACAGCGGGACAGTGCCTAAGTACAACAACACAGTGGTAAGAATGCCTCTTGCCAGCCTCACGTGCAGCTTTTTTATCGTGTCTAGAGTTTCTGGATTACTTGTTTTAACGAGGTGTGTGTATTTCACTGGATGCTTTTCCTGCTGCGTCAGGTGCACGTGACTCCTCCAGACGTGACCCTGTGTGTGGGGAACGGCTTCATCGTTCATGCTGTAAACTGCGGTGAGATGAGATGATCCCTCCTGCCTTCATTCACCTCCTCTTTGCTCTCAAACGCTGCACTAGTATCGTCAACCCTGCGCGTTCTTCTTTACACTTCCTCCTCTGCACTCCTGTATGCATCAGCCTTTTCCTCCACTCTCTCCCCTCATTTTCCTCCCTCTCCTTTCCCACCGTGCCTCTTTTCTCCCTCTCCCCTCCACCCATGGCAGTGTTGCTGGTGTGCGACACGCAGGGGAAGCAGCTCACCTCACGCGTGCCAACCTTTCTCTCCTCTCCACTCTTCTCCCTCATTTACCACCCTCTCCTCTCCCTCCTTGTGTCTCCTTCCCCTCCGTGCCTCTCCTTTCACTCTCTCCTCTCCCCCCATCGCAGCGTTGGTGGTGTATGACACAAAGGGGAAGCAGCTCACACGCATCATCCCGCAGAACGAGGTACACACTCGGGGGCAGGCAGGCAGGCAGGCAGGCATGAGCGCCCGCCGCTCTCACGTGCTCACTATTGCGCATCAGCATGAGCATGCGTGCTCTCTTGCTCTATTGCTCCCCTCTTTCCCTCTCCCCCCTCTCTCTTCCCGTCTCTCTGCCTCATTTTCTCCCTAAACCCTCTCTTCCTCTCTGCCCTTCTCTCCCCCTCTATTGTCCGCTCCTCCTCTCTCTCCTTATCTCTCCCACCCGGGCCCCCTATCTCCCCCTCTCTCCCCCTCGTCTCCCCACTCTCCGTCTCTTCCCCTCTCTCGCGTCTCCCCGCCGTGCCCTTATTTCTTCCCCTCTCTCCGCGATGGGCAGTTCTTTGGTGCGCTCTCAAACTAAGTGGAGAGGAGGGCCCCCCTGGAGGCATCAATGATGTCATGGGGGACAACATCAGTGGGCTAACCTGCACCTTCCCTCTCTTTCCCCCTTCGCTATGATTGTCCGCGGTTCTTCGGCACGCTCCCAGACTACGTGGACCAGAAAGACCCTATTGAGGCATCAGTCATGGGCGACAACATCGGTGGCCTCACCTGCACTTATGATCGCAAGGCGCGACGCTTCTATCTTTCGGCCTTCTGGCTCGTGAGTGCCGCCCGCCGCCCGCTGTTGCTATATGAGCTCTGACTACCTCTCTACTCTCCTCCTCCCCGCCTCTACGCCTCTCCGCCTCTACGCCTCTCCACCTCACTACCTCTCCGCCTCTTTACGCCTCTCCGCCTCTGTCGGGCTATGAAGCCCGCCGCTTCTACCTCTCCGCCTTCAGCCTCGTTTGCTGCCCGCCGCCTGACGCCCGCTGCTACGTCGTCCTACTATGCCAACCTCTCCTCTGCTACTTGTTGAGTGACACGAGTGCGCGTGTGTGGTGTCAGGCTCAAATTCTATCCCCCCTCTTCCTGCTTGCGAAGAGATGATTTTTGAGTCAACTCAATGTTTTTTTAATCCTCCCTCTCCTCCTGCCCTCACTCCCTCCCCCATGGTCGCCAGTCGGGGCAGTCCAACAATACGTTTGACAAGTTCGGGCAGACGAGGAGCAGGGGAAACATCACGGTGGGAGCGGGGCTCATAGTGGCCGCATCAACCACTGACGACCCTACTAAGCCCTGGAACACCTTCTTCATCCCTGGCTCGTAAGACTTCCCAAGACCCTCTCTCTCCCTCTGTCTCCCTCTTGCTCGCTCTCTTTCTTTCTCCCAACCTTCCCCACTCTCCATTTGTATATGTTGCCCACCTTCCTCAATTCCTTTTGTTTTCCCCCCCAGCCTAACCCACTTCTACTGTATTTTACCCCAACCTTCTCGCTCTCTCTCCAATTTACATACCCAGAACCTTCCCCACGCACTGTTGTCTCTCTCAGCACGCCCCTCGCTTCCAGCAACGATGGCATCAACTCCAATGCTGATTGAATGGCGCCCCTTCACTTCGCCACGTCACGACTCACCACTCGCTGTACGTGGGGTGATGGTATCTGTTTCAACAACGCTGAGAGACAATGCACGTCTAATGGCAATGTACGTTCATTGACAATGCGCGTGCTGGATGATGTTGTATCAGTGGCGAAGTAGCTACGCTGATTGACAATGCATTTTGGATGCCAGTGCGCTCTACCACCATCCAGGCGAGTCATTTTTCTGTTCCATTCCCTTCCCCATCCATCCCGTTGTTGCCTGGCAGTTGTCAACCCTCAGATCGGCACCGATGCCTATGGTGAGTGCCTTGGCCTGCCTTAAGCAGTGCTAATCAGCACACATGCCAATCATCCTTTCCCATCCCCTCCCATCCCCTTCTGTCCCCTCCCGTCCCCTCCCCTTCGCTCCCTTCCCGTCCTGCCTCCTGCCTTCCAATTTGTAAATGCTCCTCCCGCCCATTCCCTTGGTATCCTTTCCCCTCTCTTCCTCTCGCTTCCCCTTCCTTTCCTCTTGACTCCTCCATTACCATTTGTAGAAACCCCTTTTATCTCTTCCCGCTCCCTCCCGTACCCTCTTGTCCCCTTCCGCCCCCTTCCGTCCCATTCCATCCACTTCCATCTTCCCCTGTCCACTCAATTACCTTTCCTTACCCTCACTCTTTCGTCCCCTCCTAAGTTGGGCACTTACGTTTTTCGAGGTCTCGTAAACGTCAATTTCGCGAAATTTTACGTTTTCGTTTACGAACGTTAACTTTCGCGGAAGTCTTTCGAGTCCGTGAAAGTTTCAGATTCAGCGTTGACTAGTAGGAAAGGAATACGATAGGATATGAACGAGCTGGTAGGTTGACGTCGAACAAGATAGCAAATTAAGGAATTAGGTGGGAGGGAGATGACCGTGTTGTGTTAGGGAGGGGGAGCTGGGGGGAGGGGAGGGGGAGGAGGAGGAAGGGGAGGGGGAAGGGGAGGAGGAGGAGAAGGAGGAGGAGGAGGAGGAGGAGGAGGAGGAGGAGGAGGAGGAGGAGGAGGAGGAGGAGGAGGAGGAGGAGGAGGAGGAGGAGGAGGAGGATTTTATGTTTAGGGTATTATTGTTTCTTCAACATTGACATGATGCCTACAGAATGAGTCTCCCTAGTACTCTGGTAATGTTTTTCCTCAGGCAGACCTAAAAAAGTTTTCAGGTGACGGTAAACGTAAGGCCGAATCCAGGCAACCGTTCGTAAACGTAAAAAACGTTGTAAATAAACGAAAACGTAACAGACCGTAAACGTAAGATCCAACTTAGGTCCCCTCCCGTCCATTCCCTTACCTCCCACGTCCGTCCCCTCCCTGCCACTCCTCTCGCCCACTACCAGGAGTGTACGTGGCGGCCAACCAATTTCTAGAGGATTTTTCCAGCCTTTTGGGGCCCAACATTTTGTGAGTCACCTGGAGAAACGAGCACTCACGCCTCCCGTCTATTTCTCTTATTCTTGCTCTTGTGCTCTTGCTCATTAGGCTTTTCTCTGATTCCGCCCCCATCTGCTTGCATGTTAGCAGCATCTAGTGTTCCATGCCATACATGTTCGCATGCATGTCTCTGAAACTTGTACTCACTGCGCCCCCCCTGCCTCTTCCCCTCCCAACCACCCTTCCTCCCAAACCCCTTTACCCCCCCCTCGACCCCTCGCCCCCTCGCCCCCTTGCCCCCTCGCCTCCTTGTCCCCTCGCCCCTCCCCCTTTCATCCATCGCCCCCACTGCCAGTGCCATATCCAAGGCCCAGCTGACTCAGGCAGAGAACGCCACCATTCTGCGCGTCGTCGTGCCGGCCTCCCCCACTCCCACCAACCCCTCCTGGACCATTCTCCCTCAGAAGGTCGCAGCAGATGGCTCATATGACCACTCCCACGGCGGCACCATGTATTTCGCCTACACCGGCAGCATCAACCCCCCCGCACCCAACGAGACCCTACTGTTTCCCAACGTCACTGCTATGGGCACCTTTGCTGTCACCGACACGATCGCCCTCGGCACACCAGATGCAGAAAACCGCGTGGAACCGCACTGCGCCGCGGTGTACACCCCGCCGCACGTCCTCCCGCACGCAGTCACCCAAAGGAAGGACCCATGCCGGTAGCCTGGAAGATGGGACACGGCATTGCACCGATCGGGACGGTGGGAGTGGATGCGAGTGCAGTTGTGGTGGACCCTGCAAGGAGGCAGATGTGGGTGTCGTTTATGTTTGCAGCTAGGAAGGAGCTCAGTGCTGTGGGAAATGAAAGTGAGGATAGAAGTTTATGATTGCATTGAAAATGGTAGGGGTATACCTAGTTGGGGGTTGGATACTAGTCTAGGTTGCCATTATTGGACCCCAACCAATAAGTTGGGTTGGGTGATTATTGGTGGGGTCCAATAATGTTGGCCAAGTTGGGGTTGGGCCAACATTATTAGAGAGAGCCAACAATTCTACTCAACCCAACCTTTTGGGGTCCAATAATTGGACCAAGGTTGGGTTCCAACCTACAAAATGGGTTACCCTTGTTTGTACCCCCAAACTATGTTTGGGTGCTTATCACTAGCCTATTCATAACATGTATGCAGGTTACAGGAGGAAATATATTCTAACACAACCCCTTAACCTGCAAAGATGTGAAAAAGGCTTGAGGGTAGCACCCCCTGAATCAAGGCGCGCCGGGAGGGGCGGGGCCGATGAGACGGAGAAGAGCAGAGTGCGCAGGGCAGAGAAGGGCTTTGGTAAAGATATCAGCCAAGTTGGCCTCAGCAGCGATCTTGCGAACGGCAATGAGGCCTTGCTGAACGAGGTCACGGATGAAGAAGTAGCGGAGCTCGATGTGCTTGGAGCGACCGTGAAAGACGGGGTCCTGGGTGAGATGGATGGTGCTGGCATTGTCACACCAGAGTGTGGGACAGCGCTGAGGGGCACCAAGCTCGACGAGAAGAAAGCAGAGCCAATGGGACTCTTGTGCAGCCATGGTGCCAGCATAGAGTTCGGCTTCGCAGGAGGAGAGGGCAACGGCAGATGAGCGAATGGAACGCCAGTTGATGAGTCCGCTGCCAAGCGTGAAGCCATAACCTTGCAAGGAGCGGCGGTCCGGCTGGGAGTCCGCCCAGGAGGAGTCGCTGAAGCCAGTGAGAAGGGGAGGGGAGGAACCACCCAATGTGAGGGCGTGATCCTTGGTGCATCGAAGGTAGCAGAGAACCCACTTGGCGGCAGTCCATTGTTCCTCATTGTGACGGCCGGAGCCGACGAACCGAGCGAGGACGCTAATGGGGTAGGCAAGGTCGGGGCGAGTGCACATCATCGCATACATCAGCGACCCAACGAGCTCAGCATAGGGGCGGGAGGAGGCGGAGGGGGAGGTGGGAGGCGCTAGTTGGTGACCGAAGGGGAGGGGGGTAGAGACTGGTTTGGCCTGCGCCATCTCGAACTTCTCTAGTACCTGGCCGATGTAGTGGGACTGGGAGAGGGTGATGGTGCGGGCGGATCGGTTGCGGGTGATGGTCATGCTGAGGTAGTTTTGCAGCGGACCAAGGTCCTTGCACTTGAGACGGTCCTGAAGGGACCGCTTCACCTGGTCCATGTCGGTCCGGGAATCAGCAAGCAGGATCATGTCGTCAACGTAGACCGAGATGAAGAAGCGACGAGGGGAGGAGCGGATGAAGAGGCTGGCATCGGAATGGGAGGCAGAGAAACCGAGGGACTGGAGAGTGGCAGACAGCTTCGCATGCCATTCTCGCGGTGCCTGCTTCAGACCGTAGACTGGGCGTTGTAGTTGCCAGACGGTATCGTCGGGGAAAGCAGCGTGAAACCCGGGAGGTCGGCGTAGGAAAATACGCCTGTGCAGCTCGCCTTGCAAAAATGCGTTGGAGACGTCCATGGAGTCAATCTCCATGTCGTCACGCCCACCAACGTCTAGAAGAGCGCGAAGGGTGGGTGGCTTAACGGTAGGGGCGAATGTGAACCAGTAGTCCTCAGCCCAAGTCTGTGTAAAGCCCTTGGCGGCATAGCGGGCCTTGTAGACTAGTTCTTCTCCCGGCAGCTGCTTTACTCGGAAGATCCACTTGCCCTCGACAAGGTTGGCGTCAGGAGGGAGGGGGACGTCGATGAAAGAGTCGTTGTGGATGAAGGCCTCACATTCCAGGAAGATGGCAGCTATCCATTTGTCGGCATCTGGGCAGGTGATAGCTTCCTGGAAGGTGGAGGGGACGAAGATGGTGGGAGCGGAGGCCGCGGCAAGGATAAGTGCGCCAAGGAAGCTAGGGTAGAGGGGGGTGAGAGAGGGAGTGTGGCGCTGGACCATAGTGAGTTCCTCATGGAGGTCCTCTAGCAGGTTGAGTGAGGGAGGAGGCGGTGTGCCAAGGATGGGATCAAGGGAGCGGATGTGCATGCGAGGGAGGAGGAAGGGTGAGGAGCGGGCAGTCGCCCTCTGCCGTCGCTGCTGCTGGTGCTGTTGAAGCCCCTGCTGGTGCTGCTGCGGCTGCTGCTCCTCCTGCCGCTGGTGTCCCTGCTGCTGCCCCTGCTGGTGCCCCTGCTGCTGCCCCTGCTGCTGCTGCTGCTACTGCTGCTGCTGCCCCTGTGGCTGCGGCGGCTGCTGTCCTTGCTGCTGCTGCTGCTGCTGCTGCTGCTGCTGCTGCTGCTGCTGCTGCTGTTGCTGCTGCTGGGATGAAGGGGAGGGAGGGGAGGAGGGGAAGGGGAGGGGGGCAGCGGAGTGGGCAGGGGATGCAGGTGCAGTAGGATCGTAGATGTCAGCAGAGGAGGGTGGTGGAGGTGGAGCAGGGAGAGGTGGTAGTAGAGGTGCGGGAGGGAGGAGGGGAGGGAGGACAGTGTCGGTCCAGGCGAGGGGACGGGTAGGGGAAGGGAGGGGGTCTGGTGGTGGGGAGGAGTAGTATGGGGTGGTTTCGTCAAAGACGACGTCAATGCTACGAATGAGGCGATCGGAGGGAGGGTGGAGGAAGAGGTAGCCAGGCGAGTCGCGGTTGTGTCCGAGATAGACACACTCGAGGGCTCGAGAAGCGAGCTTGCCTTGGGTGCGGTCGGAAGGAGGGATAAGAACGTATGCCTTGCACCCCCAGTGATGGAGACCGGCAGCGTCAGGTTTCGTGCCTGGCCAGAGTTCCGTGGGGGCGATGGCAGTGTGTTGAGGATGGGAGTGGAGGTTGAGGAGGAGGGCAGCATGGAGAAGAGCATAGCCCCAGAGGGAAGGAGGAGTGGAGGCATGAGCGAGGAGGCTACAAGCGATTTTGGTGATTTCGCGGATGCGGCTTTCTGCGACACCATTCTGCTGCGGGGAGTGGGGAAGAGTGTGGGTCTGTTGGATGCCATGGGTGGCGCAGTAGTGGGAGAGGGTGCGGTTGAGGAATTTGCCGCCACCGTCAGAGTGGAGGCGGCCGATGGGACGGTTGAAGTGGGCGCGGCATTGCTCTGTCCAGTAGGTGATCACAGTCGGTGCCTGGTCTTTCGTGTGGAGGAGGAAAATGGAGGAGTAGCGGCTGTGGTCGTCTACGAGGACCAGCATGTAGCGATGGCCCTGACGGGAGCGAGTGGGGGAGGGTCCCCAGAGGTCCATGTGGACCAGGTCAATTGGAGCGGGAGCAAAGGACGGGTGGCTGTGGTGGGGAGACTGTTTGAGTTTGCCGTGGATGCAGGAGGGGCATGGAGGGGCAGGAGAGGAAGGGAGGGGAGGGAGAGTGGGAGGGAGGCTGTGAAGGAGGCGGGAGGTGATGGCAGTGCGGAGAGCGGCGAAATTGGGGTGGCCGAGGCGGTGGTGTAGCAGAAAAGCAGGGTGGGAGAGATGATCGGAGGTGGAGGGGGTTGGAGTGAGTGAAGGTGGGAGAGGGGGAGGTGACTGCTGCTGCTGCTGCGGCTGCGGCTGCCCCTGCTGCGGCGGTTGTTGCTGCTGCTGGCGCGGCCCCTGTTGCTGCTCCTGCGGCGGCGGCTGCTGCTGCTGCGGCCCCTGCGGCTGCCCCTGCTATGGCGGCTGCTGCTGCTGCTGCTGCGGATGCCACCCCTGCTGGGGCTGCTGTTGATGCAGTGGCTGCCGCTGGGGAGAAGGTGAGGTAGGGGGATGGGGAGGGTTAGTGGAGGTGCCAGCACGAGTGGTGACATGGCAGAATGATGGCCAAGGGGTGCGGAGAGTGTAGAGGCGAGTGCGGGGACAGAGGGGAATGCGTAGGAGGAAACGACCGGTGGCGGTGTGATAAAGGTCACAGTAGGTGGCATTACCTGGATAGACGGCAGTGATACCTGCATTTTGGATTTCTTGGTGGGAGAGGAGGTTGTTTCGAAGGGTGGGGATGTGGAGACCAGTTACCTTACCGGAGGGGAAGATAGTGCATGGGAGGGTGGAGAGATGTGTGCATGGGATGGTAAAACTGTTGTCAGCACCGTGAACCTGAGTGGGAGGAGAGAGGGGTGTGAGTGTACCAGCATCCTTGAGAGTAGTCTCAGTGGCCCCACTATCAAGGACGAAGTCCAGAGTGGGTGGGGAGGAGGAGGAAGACACCGAGTACTGGAAAGTGGATTCAATAATGGCGGAGGGGTACATAGAAGAAAGAGAGGGGGAAAGAGCAATGTTGCCAAGAAAACTTTCCTGGGTGAGGGGAGTGACACCACGACCAGGAGGAGGTGGGGTACCACACAGGGGAGCAGGGGAGGTGTGAGCAGCTGTGGCTGCCGTGCCAAAGTTCAGCTGCTACTGCTGCCAGGGGGGAGTGCTGGGTCCCCACTGGGGTGGGAGCCCGGGTCCCCAAGGAGGCTGCTGCTGCGGCTGCTGCTGCTGCTGCGGCAGGTGCTGCTGGAACAGCTGTTGTTGCTGCAGAAGATGCTGCTGCTGCAGGTTGAGGAACGGCGTGGGGGGAGCAAGGAGGCGGAGGTGGGCGGGGAGGTAGGCAGGGTTGGTTTGGATGTCAGCAGGGGAGGGACGTGGGGAGACGGTACCCCAGCGGGGAGGTGTGCCGACATTGCCCCGTGCGTACCAGGCATCATCAAGAGCCTTGAAGCAGGTGTTAGGGGGATGGTTGGTTTGACCACAGGGTGTCCCTGCCGGGGGACCGTAGCGACGGACATAGGTGCAGGGAGGGAGAGTGCCAGGGCGGGGTGCGCGGTTCCCTGAGGGACCGCTCTGACTGGGGGTGCCGTGCTCATCCCCAGTGGAGCCACCACGGCTGCTTGCGGTGCTGCTTCCCTGGCCGCTGCCTCGACGACGGCGAGGTGAGCAATGCGGCCAGCGACCGCCTGGGCGTAGGCATCAGCTGCTGCATCGTACTCGGCTTTGCGGATCAGGTAAGCACGGCGACGCATAATGAAATCAGCATCTGCGGTGGCCTAGTCGGCGGCGGTTTGGAGCTCGGGCTCAAGGGGGGGGGTCGCCAGGAGGAGGAGGGAGAGGAGGGGTCTCGCCGGGGTGGTCAGGTTCGGTGGGGAGGAGGGCATGGGGGCGGCGGAGGATGACGTCAAGGACGCGGTAGGGGGGGATCCACGCATCGTTGAGGACTCGGCGGATGCTGCCGACGAACGAGTGCCAGTTAATGGCAGATTTGTAGGATGCAAGCTGGAGTTTATCAATGGAGGAAATATCGATAGGAGGAGGGAGGGGGGGAGGGGGAGGGCATGGGGGTAGCCATGAGGGACGGCCGCGGGTGGACCCGCAGTGGTCACGGAAGCGCGCAGGTGGCAGCAGCTGGTGGGGCTGCGTGGGTGCGGAAGCGGTGGAGGAATGGCGCCAGCGGTGGTCGGCGGGGAGGCGGCGACGAGGTCGCGGGGCGGCGCGAGGTGGCAGCGGCTGGCGAGGCCGCGGCGGACGCAGGCGCAGAGGCGGCGATGAGGCCGCAGAGGGGAGTGGTGCGGGTGGCGGCGGCTGGCGAGGCCGCGGCGTCTAGGGGAGGCGGCGACGAGGTCGCGGGGCGGCGCGAGGTGGCAGCGGCTGGCGAGGCCGCGGCGGACGCAGGCGCGGAGGCGGCGACGAGGCCGCGGGGGGGAGTGGCGCGGGCGGCGGCGGCTAGCGAGGAGGTCGCGACGACGCGAGTGCGGAGGCGGCGACGAGGCCACTAAGAGGAGCGGCACGGGCGGCGGCGGCGGCGGCTGGCGAGGCCGCGGCGACGCGGACGCGGAGGCGGCGTCGAGGCCGCGGAGGGGAGCAGCGCGGGCGGCGGTGGCTGGCGAGGCCGCGACGACGCGGGCGCGGAGGCGGCGACGAGGCCGCGGAGGGGAGCGGCGCGGGCGGCGGCGGCTGGCGAGGCTGTGACGACGCGGGCGCGGAGGCGGCGACAAGGCCGCGGAGGTGAGCGGCGCGGGCGGCGGCGGCGGCTGGCGAGGCCGCGGCGACGCGGGCACGGAGGCGGCGTCGAGGCCGCGGAGGGGAGCAGCGCGGGCAGCGGCGGCTGGCGAGGCCGCGACGACGCGGGCATGGAGGCGGCGACGAGGCCGCGGAGGGGAGCGGCGCGGGCGGCGGAGGGGAGCGGCGCGGGCGGCGGTGGCTGGCGAGGCCGCGACGACGCGGGCGCGGAGGCGGCGAGGAGGCCGCGGAGGGGAGCGGCGCGGGCGGCGGCGGCTGGCGAGGCCGCGACGACGCGGGCGCAGAGGCGACGAGGAGGCCGCAGAGGGGAGCACCACAGGCAGCGGCGGCTGGCGGGCCCGTGACGACGCGGGCGCGGAGGTGGCGACGAGGCCGTGAGGGGGGGGGGAGCGGCGCGGGCGGCGGCGGCTAGTGAGGCCGCGGCGACGGCGGGCGCGGAGGCGGCGATGAGGTCGCGGAGAGAGGAGAGCGCTAAGGGGGGAAGGGGGAAGACGGCGGAGGAGCCGGAAAAAATATGAAGGCCGGGGGTTGCGGCGGCCGGGTGGGCCTTTGGAACGAGAGTAGGCCTAGGATAGTGAGCTCTATACCATGTGGGAAATGAAAGTTAGGATAGAAGTTTATGATTGCATTGAAAATGGTAGGGGTATACATAGTTGGGGGTTGGATACTAGTCTAGGTTGCCTTTATTGGACCCCAACCAATAAGTTGGGTTGGGTGATTATTGGTGGGGTCCAATAATGTTGGCCAAGTTGGGGTTGGGCCAACATTATTGGAGAGAGCCAATAATTCTACTCAACCCAACTTTTTGGGGTCCAATAATTGGACCAAGGTTGGGTTCCAACCTACAAACTGGGTTACCCCTATTTGTACACCCAAACTATGTTTAGGTGCTTATCTCTAGCCTATTCATAACATGTATGCAGGTTACAAGAGGAGAGATATTCTAACAAGTGCCACGGCTGTGGTGGTTCGCCTGCAGCTGTCGCTGCGGCCCCAGCGCACGGCGCACACGTTCTGCGTGTTTCTGGAGCGGTTCAAAGCGGTGGGCGTGGAGAGGAACAGTCTGATTCAGCCCACCATGGCGCTCAATAGGTGGGTGGGGAGAGGGTAGAGAGGGAGAGGGACGAGGGAGGTCGATGAGGGAGGGGGATGAGGGAGGGGGATGAGGGGGATGAGGACAAGGAGATATGGTACAGGGGATGGCATGGCACCCTTGCACTGTCTTACCTTGAAACCTCGCACCCTGCACCTTCGTACTTTACCTCTTTTTGCACTCACTCACTTCCCTATCCTCACATGTGTAGCCATGGTCGCACCATCCACCTCTCATTCCGCCCCACCTCTCAATCCCCCCCACCACTCATTTCCCCCCACCTCTCATCTACCCCTTTCCTCTCCTCTCTCGCTCCCAGCCGGGGCGAGGGCATCCTGGCAGCATCGCTGGCAGGCCCCAACTTCTACCCCTCGGCTGCCTCTCATTCCCACCCTTCCTCTCATCCCCCCAACTCTCGTCTCCCCCCCACTCCCTCCTCTCTTGCTCCCAGCTGGGGCGAGGGCATCCTAGCAGCATCGCTGGCAGGCCCGAACTTCTACCCCTCGGCTGCCTACGCACGTATCAACGGCAACACTGATGTGGGCAGGATCGTCGTCGCGGGCCCGGGGAAAGCGCCTCTCGACGACTACCTCAGTAAGTCTAGCGAACTAACCCCGGGTGGCTCGTTGGGTGATCAGGGTTTGGGCTTAGCATGTATGGTATGGCACCCACAGGGGCAGGATCGTTGTCGCCGACCCAGGGAAAACGCCTCTCGATGATTACCTGAGTAAGACTAGCTAACTAACCCCCGTTGGGTGATTAGGGTTTGGGCCGTTGCATGTATGGCATCGCAACCACGTGAGCATGATCGTCGTTGCGGGCCCGGGGAAAGCGCCTCTCGACGATTACCTGAGTATGACTGTTGGGTAATTCACGCACTTGGCTCATGTCCGCCAACAAGCAAGTCCGTGCATGGGTGCATAGGCCTTGGGCCTTTGCATGTATGGTATGGCATGACAGTTGTGTGTCCCATCCCTCATGCACTGCTATTTCTGGACTTCCTGCTTGTACCTTTAACCTGAGTCCTGGAACTTCCCACCACTACCCATCCCACCCTTTACCCACCATCTCCCTCCCCCGTCCCCCGTCCCTCCCCCCTCCCCTCTTTTCTCCCCTCCATTCGCACGTATCCACCCCTACCTTTCCTCCCACCCACCCAACACCCACCACTCCCTATGTGCAGCGTACCGCTTCAACATCCCTGTGCTGCTGTATGGAGGCTTGATGCTTTTACCTGACTCTCCCCAACCCCCCCTTCCCACCACGTACCTGCAGCGTACCGCTTCAACATCCCTGTGCTGCTGTATGGGGACTTCATGTCGGCCACAATAGATGAGGACGGCAACGTGTGGGCGGCGGTGGAGTATGTGGGCGGCGTGGAGCGGACGGACTATAGCGACTAGGGCACCTATATCTTTAAGGTGGATTTGGGGGAGAAGAAGGGGGAAAGTGATGGGAGCACTGGTGGGAGCAACAGTGGCGGTGATAACAGCAGTGGCAGCGATGGGGACAATGGTGGGAGTGACAAATGATGGCAGCGGTAATCACAACAGCAGTGGAAGCAGTGGCGATTGCAGCACAAACACTGGTTACAGCCACAATGGGCCGTGATGGCTGTTGTGATAAAACTTGGAGTTAAATAGGATGCGCGTGTTTGGGGAATCGAGGGTGGTGTGGTTGCGTGCGTGGGTGCGTGGGGGGAGTCGAGGTAGTGGAGGGGTGGTTAGGGTTGTGTTAGGCCCCTTGGCCTAAATCCGCTAAGGAATAGCGAGGTTGACTAAATTGAGGATAAAGTGTGGCGGAAGACTTTGGCGAAAGATGTGTTGGCGAAATAGGCGAAGAAGTAACTGAGTACCGTAATTGATGAATGAGAATTGGTTGATATTGGTGGATACAAGCAAGGATGATATAGCATGCAAGGTCTGTCACAGAATTCACTGAGGGAAGTTGCAATTCATCCTGTTAACGCTAATACGGTGCAATGTGATGTGCTGTAGCATATGGAGCGGGGTGTAGAATGTTATTTGACTTGTAAGCAGGTTGGTGGGCAGCAGGGAGAGTGACGCGAAGTTGGTGGCCTGGGGACCAGCGAGGCGCGCAAGAAGTGAACCCAAGAGCCTCGAGCAACTGGGAAATCACTCTGGCCAATACCAAGCTGGAGCGGCCCGAACTCAACCAGAACTCTGAGACATTGGCGACTTGGCCGAGGGTAGATTTATAGCCTAGAGAAACATCACTCGATTAGTTCTCTCGTTTGTTTACTCTCTATAGTGGATTAAGTTGCTAATCTAAGCTTTCTAAGCCAGGTGACGAGGCCACTCGGAGTAGCCAAGTGTGGGGGACGGATTCCTCTGTGGCTGAGAGAGGCACAAGAGAGAAGACGGGCAAGGAACAGAAGAGGGGAAGGTAATGGGGCAAAAGTTGGAGCAGGGAGACAAGTAAGGGAGGGGATTCACGACACTGCTGAAGTGAGTGCACTATTAGCAGAGTTTAGAGACGTCTTCCCCAACGAGTTGCCCCCAGGGTTGCCTCCTAGCCGAGCTGTAGATCATCGAATAGAGCTGGAGCCGGGAAGCAGGCCAGTAGCGAAGCCACAGTGGAGGTTGAGTCCTGCAGAGACAGAGGAGATGACGCAGCAGGCTAGGCACCTTCTCGTGCAGGGTTTCATTCAGCCATCCAGATCGCCTTGGGCAGCACCAATCCTTTTCGCACCCAAGAAAGACGGAGGGTTACGGATGTGCATAGATTACCGCGCACTGAACGCCACCACCGTCAAGAATAGGTTTCCGGTGCCGAGAGTAGAGGATCTCCTAGATGCAGTGCAGGGCGCTAGAGTCTTCTCAAAGATCGACCTTCGTTCGGGTTACCACCAGATTTGTGTAGTTCCAGAGGACCAGCACAAGACGGCGTTTTGTACGAAGCAGGGGTTGTATGAGTTTAGGGTTCTACCATTCGGTTTGACCAACGCCCCAGCGACGTTTCAAACGCTCATGAACACCGTCCTCTCCGAGTTCCTAGATTCGTTCGTTGTAGTTTACCTAGACGACATCCTAGTGTTCTCTAAGACGAAGGAGGAGCACATGCAACACTTGCAGAAGGTCTTTGAGGTCCTGAGGAGGGAGCAGCTGTACGCGAAGCAGTCGAAATGCCAGTTCTTTCTCCCTGAGGTCGAGTTCCTAGGACACGTCGTATCCGCTAGTGGCATTAGGACCGACCCGAGAAAGATCGCAGCCGTACAGGATTGGTTAGCACCGACCTCAGTCAAGGAGTTGCAGAGCTTCCTCGGATTTGCAATTTATTACCGCCGTTTCGTTCAGGGTTACGCATCGATCGCTAGTCCACTCACCGACCTACTTCGGAAGGGCGTAGATTTTGATTGGGGTCCAACGCAGCAACAGGCGTTTGAGCAGATAAAGCAGTCGTTCACGTCTTCACCGACACTGTCGTACCCAGATCCCAGTCGCCCGTACGTTGTAGTGACCGACGCATCAGATCGGGCCATGGGAGCAGTGCTTCTTCATGACCAGGGACGCGGGTTGCAGCCGATCGCGTACGAGTCGCATAAGCTTAGGGGAGCGGAGTTGAACTATCCCATTCACGATAAGGAGGCGCTCGCGATCATCCATGTGTATAAGGTTTGGAGGTGCTACCAAGAGGGGGCAGATAGTGTTATACGCACGGACCACTGTTCGCTTCGTTTCCTCAAGTCGCACCCGCAGCTGAGTCGTCGCCAGGCTAGGTGGATGGAGGTCATGGAGGGGAGCTTTCACTACAAGATAGAGTACAAGCCAGGCGTGCGCAACCCAGCAGATCCGCTCACTCGCCCTAGTTGCCAGCTCGCTAGTCTCACAGTCACTGCCGGCCACCCACTTCTCGCAGCACTCTTCGAGCACGGCTACACAGTAGATCCCGACTTCACACCGCAGCCGCCCGCAGGAGCAAAGGTGCAGGGTAGTGTCTACATATGGAAGGGTACCACACGGATTTGGGTTCCAGCCTACCGCTCTCTTCGACAGCTCCTTCTCTCAGAGGCGCACGACGTAGTTAGTGCAGGTCACTTTGGAGTAGATAAGACGGCTAAGACGCTTAGTCGCACGTACTACTGGCCCGGGCTTGCAGCAGACGTAGAGGATTACATTCGCTCGTGCGACACGTGTCAGCGTACTAAGTCCTCTCGCAAGCGCAAAGCAGGACTCTTGCAGCCGATTCCACCGCCCGACCGCCCTTGGCAGGTAGTCACAATGGATTTCATCATGGCATTACCGCGCACAGTTAGGGGTCACGACACCATCTTCGTGGTCGTGGATAAGTTTTCTCGAGCAGCGCAATTCATCCCCACGCACGGCAAGGTCACAGCAGAGGAAGCCGCGACACTGTTCATAGATAACGTAGTCCGACTGCATGGGGTTCCAGATTCCATCATCTTAGACCGCAACCCGCGTTTCACTTAGAAGTTTTGGAAGCAGCTTTTCGCACTGTTTGGGACTCGCTTAGCCATGTCGTCTGCGTACCATCTAGAGACAGATGGACAGACTGAGCGTATGAACCAGACTTTGGAGCAGATTCTTCGCAACATCACGATGCACGACGCAGCCGCATGGGACAAGAAGCTGAGCATTGCCGAGTTCGCTTACAACAACACGCACCACTCGTCCACAGGCATGCCACCGTTCTTTGCACCGTACGGTCAGCACCCCAACGTTCCCACTCGTGTCGATCTCAAACCCACAGTCCCTGGTGTGGACAACTTCCACCAGCATCTCACATTCATCCATGATCACGTGAGGAAGCACCTTGAGCTCGCAAATGCACGCATGGCACGCACCACCAACCGCAGTCGTCGTGAGGTGTCGTTTGCAGTCGACGACCGCGTTCTTTTGGATAGCCGCAACCTCCGACTGCCACAGGACTGCAAGCTTCGTCCACGTTTCATTGGTCCATTTGTCATTGAGCGCGCACTTGGTCCCGTCGCATACCGCCTCCGCCTTCCTGCTCATTTCCGCATGCACCCGTCATTCCACGTGTCGCTTCTTCGTCCTTACACTGATCCCAACGCCACCTTCTCGGGTCGTGACCGCACTCCACTGCCGGTAGCTGTTGACACCGACGAGCCCGACTACCAGATTCAGCGCATCCTCAGGCACCGTCGCCGTCTCCAGGGGGGTGTCTCTTTCCTCGACTTCTTGGTTCGTTGGCGTGGTTACGACGCAGCAGATGACAGCTGGGTTCCTTCGTCCTCGCTATCTCCCGACAACGCTTGCCTCCAAGCGTACCTTCAGTCTGCAGGCGCCGCGGACGTCTCCTTGGGAGGGGGGTAGTGTTAGAGGGGTGTTTACTGTTCCCTTTGAACAGTACTCCCAACCCCATCCTTATCCTTATCTTTTCAGATTTCCTAGTGCCATGTGACACTCTACCTTTCTTGCTTCTACTTTCTAGTCCCACGAAGTACTTTCCGGCATTCGACCTGTCGTGAATCCCCTCCCTTACTTGTCTCCCTGCTCCAACTGTTGCCCCATTACCTTCCCCTCTTCTGTTCCTTGCCCGTCTTCTCTCTTGTGCCTCTCTCAGCCACTCCCTGCCCCCTCCTGTACTCGTGCTCGTGCTGCACGGGACCGAGTCACAGGACCATCCAGCTGAGGCCGGCTGCTCCTCACCACCGCTGCATTGGTCTGGTGGTCCACTGTCTGTTCCCCCTTCTCGTTCTCTAGTACCAGCACCCTTGAGTCGCGTACTACTTTCACCTTCCACCTTACGGTTCCTAGTCCCACGTCCAGGGTATCCTGCTTGGCCCGCTTCAAATAAACCTCTTGTCCCTCCGCCACTGCTTCCTTCCCCTTTCCTCCTCCCTTCTGCTGCCGCTGCTGGTACCTCAGTGCATCCCGCAACTGTGCTGTGTGCAGGTTCTCGAGTGCGGCTGGTAGCATCTCTTTCATGTAGCGTGCTCTTGCTTCTGCCAGTGCTACCCACTTCTCTGTTCCCTGCACGCTCACCGGGTCGGTTAACACCCGCGGTGCCCCCACTGGCAGCACTGGCTCTCGCCCAAACAGCAGGCTATACGGCGAGTGATCCCTCAGCGATGCCTGCCTCCCGAACCTGTATCCTGCTGCAATCCAATGCAGTTCCTCATCCCAGTCTCTCTTCCGCTTCTCCCCGTATGCCCGCAGATTCCGCTTCAAGGTCTGCACCAGCCGCTCTGTGAGTCCATCACTTTGAGGATGATACCGAGAAGTCCTCCGGTGCGTGACGCGTGCCTGGTCTAACAATGCCTGGAACTCCCCTCTGAATTCACTCCCTTGGTCTGTCAAGACCTCCCCTGGTGCTCCAAAGCGGCATAGCACTTGCTCCTTGAAGGCCTTTGCCACATGCTTCGAGCTCTTGCTGGGAATAGCGTGCACCTCCAACC